GTTGTTGTTTTGAAATATATTTGACTTTAGGATACTCCATTCTGCTATTGATTATTGTATTCTCCTTTATTCTCCCTTACATTTTGGCTAATACATGTTGAATATTCTGCTTGCATTTAGGAGCCCAGAACGTTAAGGACACAGTTGTCGGTACGTGATATTAAATTTAACATAGAGAATATAGGAGCATAAACGATATTTAGTCGCAGTGCCGAAAACCAAACGCTCATAGCACAGATGTCGTGAAAATACCACGTGCCACAGGTAGATGAAGTCAACAAACTCAGCCTTTAATATGAACCCTGGGAGCTAACCCCTACACAACTCTCCTCACCTTCCCCGTCTCAATCTCATACACCCACCCGGAAATTGGAATCCCAGGCGTAACCAGCACCTGCTCACTCAGCCACCTAACATCGTCTCTAACTGCTTCCTCAAGCAATGGAAACGGCTGGAAATCCGGAATATCCCTCTTCAGCGCCTCGAGCACCCTAAACCCGCCATCCGCAGCGCCAGTTCCATTCTGCCTGTGACTCTCCACCAATTTCTTTTCAACAAGAGCATGCGCCTGCTCGTTGGTGAAGGTCAGCATGCCACAGCCCGTGTGCTTGATGAGCAGGATCTCGCGGGTTCCCAGCAGCTGCTGCGAGATGACAATGGAGCGCAAGCCATCGCGGGCGCTGGCGCCGGCATTACGGATTACGTGGGCATCGCCAAGGGAGATGCCGAAGGCGGAGGAGGGGTCGATACGGGCATCCATACAGGTTACTGTTTAAGAGTTACTAAAGGGGCAATGGAGAGTGGGTATGGGTTAACATACGAACAAGATATTTCTCCACTGGGGGGATGGCAAGATGATTCTGATTGTAAGTGCTTGCATATCCGGCATTTCTGTCTTGGAGGTTTTGTTGGATTTGGGTTACCATATTTCTCTGCTGCGGAGGATAGATTTCATTGATCAATATATCTATACCGAGATATATCTGGTGTATTTTTTTTTTTTTTTTTTTTTTTTTGGTGAGAATAGAAGAAGATGATCTGGACATATAGTTAATGGTTAGTAATGGACTTTCATCAACAGTTTCATAATGAATATTAATTATGGGATTCTAACAAGTGCTGTTATCAGAGCAACTAGTGTCTCGAAAGAGGGATTATTATAATATCAGGATACTATCAAGTCGAAAACGCGGTTGTCTGGAATATAACATAAATCTTGGGACTACTAGAAAACTTGCAGAGGTGCGAGCATAAGATGCGGAGGCAGGTAATATATCTCTTCACTCCATATGAAAATCCACAACTCACGATAAGGTTAAGCTTTCCCTTCCTTCTTCCCCAGATGGAGATGGTATGCCAGCCTTTTGGACGGATGCTTTCCAAATTTCTGGCTCATCTCAGGACGAATCGGCAGCCGAGCCGTCGATGATGTTTAAGATATATATATATATGTGTATGTTATACGTCCCTCGCTAGCGCAGATCATGTCCTTCCTTCACGTCCATCTTCGCAAGATAGAAATGTCAAGAGAAGGTATCACGTATTAAATTGCACCAATTAGCTCATTCCAAGCAAATGATATGGAAGGAAAATGACGCCACAGAATGTCATACGGGACATCTCAGAGGAGTCTTTTTGATGAGGTGCGGTTCGTTTGAGGCGGGGAAAAGGTTGAACTTTTTTCATGTTCCTGTATACCATCTAGAAGCTGTTAGCAAGGATCAAAGTTACAGGATATTTAAGAAATGTCTAATATGCCCCCTTAACAGTCTGATGGGGGGATTAACCTGCGAATCTGACCACGCCGTTGGAGTGTAGCTGGCGTAGGTTATGGAGCTACAGATATCTAAGCTCCCCTCTAGAAAAGTAAAAAAGCACTCCGCAGTTTCGGCAATCCGATGAAAAATACGACTTGATGCAAACTTCAAATCCCGATAAGTCAAAACAGCTGATAAATGTTCCAAGCCCCAACTTGTAAACCACCTGATACATTGATGTTAGATATATGAAACACTTCATAGATATGCGCTGAATAGAACTGCTCTGCTTTGTAAGACAGAGTATCCTTCATTCTCAACCAGCATCTTCACAATCAACTCTGGAAATCTAGGCTTGGTGGAGAGCTCGCGTGCTGGTGATGGAAATGAAAGGCATTGCTTTTGAGGGGTGTCCTTGAGAAGTTAATTGGTTGAAAACGCTATGAGGTCGGTAACTAAATAACTGGTTAACTACTCTGTAACTACACGGCCGAAAGTCTCAGCCGAAAGCTTCACACCCGCCATTTATGTTGATACACGGACAGGAAGAGAGTCCAACCGGACTCTAAGCACTTAGTTATCTAATAATCCCATTTTTTGATGTCTTCATATGCTTCTTTAAAGTCTGACACAGGCAACCTGGTCAATATAAAAACAATGGAGCAGCTTTGTATACCTATGGATCGATCGCTCGAGCGGTGGCAATGAACTTTTGACAACCGTCTCTATAAACACCACGACGGAGAGCCACCCGACGCCATCAATCGGCAACCATGTTGGTTGTCGCAGCCCGGGCACTTCTCAACTCGCCAATTAAGTTATAAACCGGGTTTTCTTTTCTCGGCAACTACCTCGCAGTGCGATGCATGGAGGATTCAGATTCAATATGTTGAAGCCCTCTGCTTAGAGACCAGAGTCGTATAACTAGATAATGAAAAATAACCTACAATGGCGTGATGTTCGCAACATCTGTCCTAATCGCAGGGCAGGTCATGCAGCCATCGTCCAGGGTTAACGTTACATATCCGATCTGGCTCATTGGGGTTCAATTCGCTGACGCTGCAATATACACATGTATAAAGCTGCTCGCCTGGAGGCATTGGATGGAAACACTCAGCTTAGTCGTGGATAAAGAGGAGAGAGAGTGTGAAGGCATGTCGTGATGAAGTTGAGCTTTTGCTTAAGGGGAAGGGCCTAGATTATTTTGGTTAACAATGCGTGAGGATTTCCAATTGTGTTTCAGAGCCGAAACTTGCTATTATATGGTCACATACGAAGTGCTAACTTTAAACTCTAGTGGACCAAGTACGTCTAATTCTTCCCCGAATATATGTATGAAAGTATATGAGAGGCCTTTATGTGGTGCCCTTGCGTACGCTGCACTTGAATTTCTGCATCTGTATTAATCCTGGGTCAAACAGACTACACAGTCCCTGCCTTGGACGTTAATATCTCCGAAGCCCGTGAGATATTCAAGACGAACTTCTTCTCCGTCATTGCAATGTGTCAGGCTTTTGCTCCGCTGCTTATCAAGGCCCAAGGCACTATTGTTCAGCTAGGATCCATTGCTGGCGAAAGACATCCCGAAAGCTAGATGATATGATCTGTTTCGAATCAATCTACTAACTTATATTAGATATAACCATACGCTTTTGGATCTGTATACAGTGCTTCGAAGGCCGCACTGCACTCATTCAGTGACACTGAGAGACTTGAATTCGCCCCGTTCGGGTCCGCCAATCCCTTCGTTTGATTTTCATGACTCTTTTCTCAGTTTCCCCCTTTCCTCTCAACCAATCGAAATTTAGACAAACCAGAAAGCAAGCAAGAAAGAAACTCTACAACTAATAACCATCCACCTTTTCCCAAATCTACGGCGTTCAAGTGACAACCACAATTACTGGCGGCGTGAAGTCCAACATTGCCAGAACTCCTTGCACCCCTAGCCGAAAACTCCCTCTCCCGGTCCTGTCAAGGCGGAGTATGCCCAGCGCGTCATCCACAGCCAAGAGAATCCCGTATCCAACGAAGACTATGCCTGCTCCATCGTAACCCACACCTTGTATGGCTCGGCCCCAGGGCGGTGGATCCGTTGGCTTCTAATGTGGCCATTCGGCAGCCGCAGAATACGGAGAAGCGGCATGTACGTGTGGGAGGAAATAAGTCGACCGCCATCTGGCTGTTGCACGGGGGGTGGGCGTGGGTTGGGTTGTTTCTGTGGATGATGATGAGGATGTTCTTTATCAATAATCACTGAAAAACAACACTTTATCTTGATTGAACCCAGGGTACCTTCAATATTCTTCTACAAAAAGATTCCCTACGTATACCTACATATAAGTTGCGAAGTCTTCCAGATAACGTATGCAATGATATGACATGCTGCAGGATTCAGGTAGAGTCCTAGAATCACCGTGTCTCCAAGGACAAGGCGCCATGCCGTTGGTTTTGAACTTCAATAAGCAAATTTTTAATGCAAAGGCTTGGAAAATGGAGTGAAACTCAAGTGAAAAGAAGATAAAATTCACACATGATAAGACGATAATGTAAATTTCTAGAATATTTCTTAAGCGCAGGAAGTAAGGATTGTAGAAATACGAAATGCATTTTTTTTTTTTTTTTTTTTTTTCAAAAACATCACAAACTTTCTTGGACATCAGACCTGTCTCCATAGACATTACGGAATATCCTCCCCTGCCCCCTGAAAGACAAGAGACAGCAACTCGATGTCCCTCACCATTCTCTCAATTCTAACAACAAAATGTCCCTCACAATCATAGAAACGCAATCACATAGCAGTGTGATCAATCACTCTAGTCGGGCTGTCACGGCCTATTTTTCGATGGTATGAATTTTACTGGGATGATATGTGTGGAAGATATGAAGGTGAACAGATGCGGAAATGGCGGTGCTGATTGACAGGTAATGTCAGTGTGTTTGAAACTACTGGCAGAAGAGCCATGAGTTTTTTGAGGAGCTTGTGCTCCCAAGGGATTTCTCCTTGATACCCCTCCCTCCCTTCATTTTTTGCTGTCAACCCAGGATGAGCGTGTGAGAGGCGTTGTGACCTCCCCCAAAGGCAGATTTTGAACACCGGAACTGGGGCCCGGGGGGGGGGGGGGGGGGGGGGGGGGGGGGCGAAGAATAAGAAATAAATAGCTTTTAAGAAGGATTTTCTCAACTCAAGTTCTAGGCAAGCAGGGCTCATCATACCTTGATAACCTGATGCTGAAAGCCAGTTGGCAGAAACCGACATACTCATGATAGAATTCACAAGTGAAAATGATGCAACGAATTCCAAATAGCTGAAACAGGTATACAGATCCATTATGACTCTTAACATACTACGACTGACCCCATCTATTGCGTTCTCTCTGGTGAAGCGTGGGAAATTAAACACATTCTAAACTTGGAATAAATCAAAATGCCCATCGGAAATATAGATGGACAGATTTTTATGCAAGATACAAGTAACAGGGGAAAACAAATGAAATGACGCGACAACACAGGCAATGCTATCAGATATAAGAATAATTAAGTGGTTTTGGGTTCCACATTGCACAAATAAAAAGGGCGGAAAAGGGGTAAATTATCAATTATAACCCGCATGGCCTTCGCAAAATATTCATATACCTCCAAATGAGTCGGAGAGAAAAGGAGTCGATGAGAAAAAGCCTCCTGGTAGAACGCACAAAGTCGCACGAGTTTTCGTCATAATCTCAGGCCCATAATTTGTGGTTTCATACAAAAGTGTTAGACCAATGCATGATTTCCCAGCAGCAAGTGTGAGTGAGCATTCAAATTAAATTCCAGGAAAATATTCTCTGTACACATCTTTATATAGCTTGGGGGAAGGGTTGGAGAAGATAGATGAGAGGTGAATGGAAATTGTACGAGTCGAGGCAGAAAAATAATATGGAAAATCCATGCGACTGTTTTTAAATGCCAAGGGAAAATTCAACGCCCACGTCGATGTCACGGGCCATTTTGACAACTTTGGAGAACTGGACGGATTTTTCAGCGGCATTTTGTAGGTCTTCGATAGAGAAGATTTTCAGGCCGGAGTCGTTGATCTATGGGAGACGGTTAGTTTTGTTTATAACGTTTTCTCATGGTAGCTGTCGGAGTTTATTCAGGATGAACATACCAGCTTGTGGGCTTGTTCCATATTGGTCCCTTGCAATCGTGCGACGATCGGGGTGCGAAGGTTCATTTCGTTGACGACATTGATCAAACCTTGGGCGATGGCATCGCATCTGACAATACCACCAAAGATGTTGACAAAGATAGCGGTAACCTTGGGGTCGCTAGTGATGAGTTCGAAGGCGGATCGTATGGCCTGAGGAGTAGCACCGCCACCAACGTCGAGAAAGTTGGCGGGGCTGCCACCATTTAGCTTGATGATATCCATAGTTGCCATCGCAAGACCGGCTCCGTTGACTTTGCGTGCCATCAGCAATGATTCCTACGTTGCAATTTTTTAAGGCTGAATAGTGGACTTACCCAAACAGCCAATATCTCCATCTAGTTTAATGAAATTCAAGCCAGACCTACAACACAAAATAGAGTTAACTGCTGACCAAGTGGAAGCAATATATGAGGAGGAATTTCAGAAAACGCACTCAGCAGCCTTGAGCTCATCGGGGTCCTCCTGAGTGGTATCTCTCCACGAGAACACCTCCTTTTGTCTAAATTCAGCATTGTCATCGAACCCAAACTTAGCATCCATTGCAAGAACTTGGTGGTCAGTAGTCTCACACAGAGGGTTGATTTCGATCTGTGTAGCATCCTTCTCCATGAAGACTTTGTAAAGTTTTTGGATCGTATCCTTAGCATCTTCAATGCATTGTTCTGAGAATCCTAGATCCCTGGCAATATTAGCTGCCATCTGATCAGTGACTCCGACATTGATATCGATGTGAGTTGTGGTGATCGCATCGGGCGAGTCCTTGGCGACGCCCTCGATATCGACACCACCTTGCGAAGAAGAAACGATGACTGGTGCCTGAGATTTTCTGTCCATGAGAATAGCAAGGTAAAATTCTCTTCGTGCAAACTTGCGTTCGCAAATATAGACGGCATTGCAAAGTCGACCTTGGGCGCCTGTTTGTTTGGTGACAAGTCTGTGGCCAATCATCTGGGCAGCAAACATCTTGGCCTCGGTTGGTCTACATTTCGAGCTCAGTACTCAGCATATATATATATATATATTTAAAAAAAAAAAAAAAAAAAAAAAAAAAAAAAAAAAAAGAAAGAAAGAAAAGAAAAGAAAAAGATGTTTATCAGTGAAGAAACTTACGAGTAAATAACGCGTACACCACCCTTAAGGCCATTATCAAATGTGCCTTTCCCTCGTCCTCCGGCGAGAACTTGGGCTTTAATTACCAAATCATCCACACCTAGATTATTTCAAAATAATTTTAGCAAAACAATGGCAATTAAGCCGATAATCGGATACAAATTACAACATACCGATCTGCTTGGCGACAGCCTCCGCTTCCTCTGCGGTTCGGGCAACTTCGCCCTTTGGAATGCCAACCCCATACTGTACCCACCCCGAGTAAGTTTCATATCCACAGCTTCATTGGAGGAAGCACGTACGGATTTGAGGAGGTTTGCGGAGAGATATTCATGGATAGAGAGGTTTCTCCTTTGCTGCTGGGCATAGCGGCATCGAATTGGTGTTTCCTGTAAACGCGTTTGGATAGAATTAGCCTCGAATGTATAGGTTTTTGCTCCTGGTGGCATTACGTGCTAAACACAAGCCGTAGTTCCATTAAAGAGCAGTAGCAATAAACGATCCACAACTTACTGAAGCAGCTCTGAAAGCCGCAGCGATTGGAGTCCTACGGGCAAGCTTAAACATTGCGACAGTACAGCTGTACGAATAACAGATGAGAGATGGTATGTATAATAGGCAACAAGTTGCAGCGTGAGGATTATGCGGGATGTTTGAAGGGAGAGTCTGGGGCTCTTTCTGGGGTAGTGAAGTGGTATTTACGGCTTCGGTTCTTGCCTTCGGGTGTAATTTTGAGGTAATTTTGGGCATATCCAGCGCAGTGGTATGAAGTGATACGGCGCTATGTATTTTATGCCCAAGCGAATTTGAACGCTTCAGCAGCGGGATTTCTGTTTTTCCTTCCCCGACCACAAAAATAGCGGGGAGATTTGAGCAAGGAAAGTGATAATAATGACGATATCGTATTCCTTGTTCTGCCATTCAGCTACGCAATATGGCTATCTAGAACACGTGCAGCAGGGCGGAGCGTCAGCAACCGGTCAAACCCGGCCAACATTAACCAATTGGTTTCTTATGTTTGTTTGCCATATATAGCAAAGATAGCAAGACATGTCTGTGTCAAAAACAGAGGCGGATGTGATCTTCAACAGGGCGAACCTCGCTCTAGCACGTAGCCAACGTCTCATCGCATCATGGCTCCCTCCAAAAACGGCCGAAGAAATAGCCAACACAAAATCCGAAGAGGAACTCCAGCGGGAAGAGGATGAGATATTTACCCCAGTTCCAGAGAAGTATTTATTTTATTTTATTGTTCCTCTCCTTTTTTATCCGCTCTCTTAACCTTTTTCCAAAAAGTATGTAGAACTAATTTTATCCATCGACCAGACTAGGACTGGGCGCGGCCCTCCCAAAAAGTCAGGCGGACGGCAGCTTCAATCGCACAGAGCTCAGCTCTAACGAGAAACTGCGGAAACAGCTTCTGGGCAAGAACTACAAGAAACCTACTGCGTCGAAAAGCTCCCATCATGCGGCAGCTGGGAAGAAATATCCCCAACGCCCCGTGAAACCGCAACTTGAGAGTGACGATGACGAGGATGAAGGGCGCTCGTCTTTAGGCGGGAATAAACGGAAGCGGGTGACCAAAATGATGGACGAGGTTGGGACGGGCATGACAACCACTTCCGCAGTGAGTGGAAGTGTCAATGGCAAGGGCAAGGGTAATAACACTGACGACGAGGAATTACCTGGTAAATTGCAGCGCAGCACGCAGAGAAGAAAGCCTGTCAGTTACCTTGATAAACTCTTATCCGAACGATCGAAGAAGAAAAAGAAAAGCAGTAGTTAAGAAAATGTGCCGTTGAGATTACTTTTTGCCATCCTGGTCCCGACCTGTCGCAATGTGCATTTTTACTGTCGTCAACCTAGCGATATCTAAATATTATCCAGCGCATGTAAATGTACCATTACTGTGTACTTTTCTCTGTACGGCTGCTTCTTTGCCATTGAAGTCAGACGCAGAGTGGCCCCTTATCCGTCTCTATCAAGGCCCCTGGGTGGGGGGATACTAGGTGTCCGGAGATTGGATCTTGGGATATGAAGTTCATTTCTGAAGAAGATGGATTTTTGAGAAGGCAGAAGGGCACGCGACACGTCTGTCCACAGGGACATATTCATAAAGCCAGAGCAGAGGAAAGTGTGCTCTCATCCAGAGAGTAGCTTAGGGTATAGTGGGTATAAAGAGAAGGCAGGGACAGAAATTAATAAGATGACACCCGGTCTAGTGGCCATCCTGAGAATGTTAACTCCCTGATCACAAAGGGTAATAATTCTTCGAATTCTAATAGTCTTCCCATTCTATTATATATATGCTTGTAGGGCTGTTTTCAATAGAGCTGCTGCAGCTCTTTTAGCTTGAATTTCTGGCTCCTTAACTTAATTCTTAGTCTTCAAAGCAAGCAGCTTCATCTGGAGCCTGCTTGATTTTCTCAATATTGGTAAATTTGCTATTGAGGTCAGACTGAATTCTTTTCCTGGTTTTGAACTGCAGAAGATCTCTATTTAACTAATGAGCTTGTAAATTGTAACTTTCTAAGTGTTCTAGCTGAGCATTCAAGTTTTAATAGTTTTATTAATTTTGTTTAAAAATCTCTCCTGACTTCTATTTAATGTTTCATCAAATTTTAATTGTCTTACAGGTAAGTATATATTGTGAAAGTTCTTAAAAGTGATAAGTAGAAAATCTGTCACTTGATCATTAATAAAATTCATACATAAGACAAATATCTAATAATTATAGTATGAGAGAGAATATGCTAATAAAATGATCACATACATTTTAAATACAAGTTATACAAATTTTATTCTCCTTATAAGTTTTATAATTACTAAAAAATAATGTTTTAAAATTCTCTTCTACAGGTTTAGTAAAAAATCTCTTTGAAAGTATTAATTATCTTCATATTTAAATTTATTTATTTTTTGTGATAATAGACCCTCAATCTGATATTTTCTTCAGCTTTAAAACCAAAAATTCATATAGTTAATTATTATTGATGACTTGGTAATGTGGTTTTACAGCTTATGTTCATTTTATTCGGATCGGGAAACGTTCTTAGTTATGCTATCAGCTTAGCGTATACCACAGTCCTCGCTAATAGCGAATTCTGAAAGGTTTAGGAATCAGCCCGACCTTTGAATCACAACAAACTGATTAGTAACACTGATAATCTTAAAAATTAAAACTTAATCTTAATTCTCTGGGTTTTTAACGTAGATTGACTTTTTTTTCTGACTCAGGTTGTAACACTGCAGATTTCTTATACTATTTTATACTTATATCTCATATATTTTTATATAAATATTATACTGTGTTTATCCTCTATTAAATAAATTGTAGAACTGTTGAATTTACTTTGACTTAAGTTCTTTGATATTTTATAAATATTAATTCTTAGAAATTTTTATTATTCATAGCTAATCTTTGCTGCTGCTGATGAGTTATATCATATTTATTTCTATTTGTTAATCAGTGATTTAGAGCAATTCTTGAAAGGTTTTTGACTGCAACTTTAAAAGAAGAAATGGGGTCATTTTCTAATTCTTTAATGACTTTTTGAATAGATATTTCACATTAAGAGCTCATTTTGAGAAGGTGGTAAAGATAATTCATATTGGGTTGAAAAGTCAAGAACTTACACAAATAGTCACTAGAGAGAAGCGGCCATGAGATATGGTGTCATCTTACTGGCTCTTTGATTTACAGCTGAGAACATTACCAACACTAAGTTGACTTTGATGAGTTCATGACTTATTCATTTGTTGTGGGAAATGAAGGCTTGAACTGAACTGACCTCTCTTCTGCTCTCCTAACTGGCCCGACCTAAAGTTTTGACCAAGGCTATGAAGTCAATACGTGTTAACCGTTTCTTGAGTGCTGGCCACAGCCCACTGATTTTGCTGCTGAGCTGTGCTGACCACGTTGGGAGGCGATCTGATCCGACCTGACCTGTGCTGTCAAACGAAGCCAGTTGAGCTATGTGGGCGCTGTTTTACAAAGACCATGAAGCTGGGCTGGGTCCGTTTAGAACGTTTGTAAAGCGGAGGCGGAAGCATAACTAGGTCAACCTAAATACTTCCGACCCTACAAGACCTCGTTGACCTCATGTCTAAAATACCTCAAACCGACCTGAGTCCTGTACAGGAAGCGCGGTCGGTTGAGCTGAACATCACTCAATAATAGTTTCATAACCAGGTCTGCTCATCTCAAAATACAGGTATTAAACTTCCTCTTGCTGCAGTTTCAAATATCGCACATACATCCCAAATGCGGTTTTCTTACGCGACTATATCTTCCTCAGTAAATTCTCGCAGGAGTTATAGCGTCGCCGAAAGATCCCTTGCGGCATCTGTCAGCTTTCACATCAATTTACCTCTACGTGATAAGGACTTATCTTTTCTTGTGAGTTAGCCCTGTCCAGTTCATACTTCTTTTATCTTGAAATGAAACACAAAAACGAAAAATAAATAAATAAAAATTAGGGGTTTGTTGTTAAAGAGCAGTCCAAATGCGCAACATCTATTCGCTGGAGCGTGGAACACACAATTGCTCTGTAGTCTAGGTGGCGATGGAAGAAAGAGGTAGGATGGAAATGGAACGGTGATCAGACCGAGTTTTGAGGATATGATACAAGGGAATATTGGGGAATTAAAGCACGGTTGATTACTTTTATTGGTGGCACAACAACGGCTGAATGCTGGCAAATCCTCCAGATGATCAACTCGAAATACGGGACATGTTCATGCAATCAATCATCTATCCGTCGCGGCCCGCTGCAACTCAAATGTTCCATATTCCCACATTTGCAAACGGGAAATACGGGGTCGTACTCTGCAAGGGGAGGTATTCTCGAGTCCAAGGTTAGCGATATGCATACATTCGAGATGGCTGTGCAGTTGAGCTGAATCATCGCTCTCACCATTGCTCTCTCGGTAACCCTTCCGATACCAATTGGACCTGGATAATTCATTAACTTCCTCCTCTCATCTCTCCCCCCATTGCCTCCTTTCCACCCTTCTCTACATCAGCCCTCCATCTCCTTCCCACCTCCTCCAAATCCCATTCCCTCTGCAGTCCCCCAAACCACACTAGCCGAAATCTCTTCACTCTTTCAAACACCACCTTCCAAATCTCATGCCCCCTTACATACTCTTCAAAAAATGGATAATGCGGGGGCGTGTCATATCCCGGCATGTAAAAGTAATGGTCAAAATTCGCAGTTACTTCATCGAAGACTTCCCGCATGTGATCATTGTTAACCTCCTCGTTTATCTCAGAGAATATATAACTGGTTACATCGAGGCAATTCAGGATGAAGAGGTTAACGTGAACGCTTGCTTTGCCCAGTTTGGTTTGGGATTTGGCTTTCGTCTCGTTTCTTCTTCCTTCTCCTTCCCCTGTCTTCCCCCAGCTCCCCTCCTCCTCATCACTGATCTCATCCCCATCCTCATACGGTTCCTTTTTCCCCTTCATTCTCCCAAACCACCGCAACCTCCCCCGCCACCCATCCCCTTTCCCGTCTCCACCATCCTTCTCCTCAACCCCTTTAACCCCAAACCCAATCCCCCCCTCCAAGAACCTCCAAAGCAACACCAAACCCCCATCAAACGCATTAGCCCAGCTCCCACTCCTCCCACCCCTCGAAATCCTCCTTTTCAACCCCTCCACCTCATCCACCTCCGCACAGTCATTAACCGTGCAAACCGTCCCCGTCTTCCCCATCCTCATCCTCAAATTGACGTCCAATACATCAATTGAGCGCTTAAGACGTGCTAGAAGCGCTGTGGATGCTGGCACGCTGATCCAGGTTGGGTAGAGGAGGTTGGGTGGTGTGTGGAGGCGGACGTCGGCGAGGAAAGCAATGGGGGTGCGTGTGGAGCTGAGGTGTGTGTGGAGGTCGTGGGTTAGGCGGTGGTTGGCGGTGAAGAGGAGGGGTGCTGTGTGGGGTGTTGGTTGCTGAATGGGATAGCGGATTGTGGATTCGTGGGGGACGTAATTGGACCCGAGAGAGGACGTGGTGGTGAAGGATGTGGAGGAGGTAGTAGAGTTGGAAGTGACACAAGAAGGGGTATGGGGTGGCAATCTCGAGAATCGTTTTATGATCGAGGAAGAGTTCCGTTGGCTTTGTTCTACTGAAACGGAGGGGGGAGATGATTGCTTAGGCGGGATGGGAGTGCGATGGGGCGTGGCTGGGGGTGTTTGGGTGATGAAATGCCTATAGATTTCATCTCGTAGCTCACGGGGAAGAGTAAGAAGGTTTGGCATGATGTTGTTTGGCTTTGGCGAAAAACTTGAGAATACCTCCAAAGACTTTATTTCTGGATGGCTATATAATGTGTAATTGCTGCGAAGTATCTCAGGCAGGGTTGGTTTGCTGCATAGAGCTACAGAAGAGAGAGAGGAAGCGGGGTTGGAGGTTGCTATATGTGTCGACACAAACCAAGGCTTGACACTGACGAACGAACGCCCCACTGGCGGGGCCGGCGAACAAGCTGCCACAAATGAATACAAGCTAAAACATCTGCTCTTATGGGGACCACGCAAAAATTGACTTGTTTTCGTTCATGAATACATACGCACTAAGACGGCATATCTATATCTATCCATTACATGGAATAGGTACACGGTTGCGTAGCTGCTCTCCGAGGGCGTGATATCCAACAAACGGCCTAAATAGCCACCTAAACACTTCCCTACCACGCCCCAAAATTCTGTTGTTTTCTTGAGAAAGACAGGGACCATGCAAAAGTCAGTAGCTTAACATCGAGAACCATTTCTCATAAATTTAGAATCCCAATAGGAACTACATCTGTCATAAAGGGTCATGAAAATTCATCTACTACTTCACACCCTCTTTTAAACTCGTTCCAAAGAGGGAAGAAAAAGAAGCCCACTTCACAACACTAAGCAACATCAGTTCCAAGCAATCCCTATTCTTTTGTCATTAAATAACGTCCTCGTCGATCCTCCTGCCCCTTTCGAATCCGCGCACGCTCCACGGCACGCTCTGCAGCACGCTCATCACGAAGCCTTCTATACGCCGGATCCTCATGGCTCAACGGCATATCCTCATCAAAGCACCAAAAATATATTCCGCCATTCTTATTCCGTGCGCCCAGAAGCCTCTCATCAGCAATACACCGCCCACTGGATGTTCTGTAAGAATAGAAGCGCAATCTTATCTCTTGACCATTATGAAGGGCCCGCTCAATATCCATGATCTCAGGAACATGTTGAGTGCCTTCTTGAAAGTTAACGATTGCCGCGAGGCGTCCCAACCGAAGAAAATACACTAGGTCTGAATATACGGCAAGGGCGTCCGAAGGGCCAAAACTGGTCAACCTCAGCTGTGCACCTCTAATCATGTGGGCTAGCTGGGTATCAAAGGAGGTGAGTTGGGAGAACATAGGACTTAAATAGAATTTTGAACATTCCTGGCTTGTATTCCCATTTTCTTCCATCTTCTGAAACGTAAGAATTGGTAAACCATAATTATCAACAAGCGGGTCCTCGGAAACTAATTTGAGGTGGTCGGGGAAAATAACTGTTGCTGTCATTTTATCCTGTTGCGCGATAGGGGTGGTGTGCTGTAGAAGGTGTTGGGTTACAGTCATCCCGGAGTAGTGTATTGTTCCATCACTTAGAAAGTCACAAGGCACACCACCAGCATCTGTGCAGTGGAATGTTATTATGGACTTCGTCTTTGCATCGAGAAACACATAAAAGGGTCGACTGCCAAGTTTGATTTCCTTGGCTTGCCTTGATTGCAAATCCCAGGTGATGAGGGTTGCCTGCGTGTCTGCGAACCATACGGCAACAGTGTCTGCATCAACCGTGTAATGCAACCGCATTGCGGATGGTAGGCGGAAAGAACCTTTCTCTCCTGTTTGAAAGTTCCAAACATGGCAATACCTGTTGAAGGGGTGTTAGAAGTAGCATTTCAAGGTTTTGCAAGAGATTTTCCGTATCAAATATAACGTGGTGAAAGTTTTTTAACACATCTCACCCATTCTTGGTAATAGCAGCAATTGCAGCGTTAGAGATCTCGACATCACTGATTGATTCGCGGTTCTCCGTCTGAAAGGTCATGGTTTCACCTGTTTCAATGTATAGCAGCTGAATTTGGTTGGGAGAAAGGCCAGTTACGATCTTCCCGTCATGGTAGGCGATGAACTCGTCTGGAAAATTCGGAGTAAAGGGGATAATGATTCTACGATATGGTCTCCCCGTCACCAGGGCCAGACGGCATTTTGCAGCTCGGCGGAATAGGAGAGGCCACTCTGGATTGCCTGTGTCCAGCTGCTGATCTGGGAAGCATGCATGGAAACAGCTGGAGCAGACAGATGAAGACGACCATAGATCGTTCCAGCGTTTAGATACCTGATTCGATATGGTTAAAAAAATTAAGGTTTTATAAAGATGAAAATGGGGATAGGAATAGGGTTGAAAAGGAACTAGCGGATGAAAGAATAGGTAGAGAGATATACAGATCTACAGACGAAGATATCCCAAGGCGGGAGATATGAAGCTATTTGAGCCAGCAGCTCAATGGGCAGGCGAGACACTAGGTCGAAATGGAATCGGTCATAAAATAGGTCGACGACAAACGAGCACTCTTTGCGGCTCAGCCTGGGGACCAGAGCTCGAAAACTAGATGAGAAGGAAGTGGAGAACACCAGTGGTTAGTATTTTCGGGATGAAGAGGAGTCAGTCGTTAGGCACGTGGATATATGTAAATTTGTATGTAATATGGGATGTGATATACCTACAACTGCTGGCGGGCATCTGGAGTGGGGAGAGCTCTGAATGCGTGAATGAAGTAGGTGGCTAGGATGGCCGGGTTCATTTGATCGATAACAAGTTATCGCCTTAAGCAGCCCTTAATTGCGAGGGATGGTGGGTGTTTGAGGAGTCGTCGGCAATGATGAAGTGCTACTTACTGGTGGCGATAACGGAGGATGATGGTTAGTTAGTTACTAAATGTGTTGAAGATTTAGATTGCAGCCTACAGGTGAGCCATCCCATATCAGATCCGATCACTATGAACAATGGTTAATTATGTGAATCAATAGACTTCTCCCATCCCGGAAGTGTGGTTGTTCTGGATTGTAGAACTAGATTATGCATATCTGGGAGAATAAAGCACAGACAAAGAGTTTTTTACTAGTACCGCAGCATGTTCTCGTTTCACCCTGCATTACTTTATTTAGTTAACTAAATTTCGACATTCTGGAAATACATCCATGTAACTATTGTGCAACTGGAAGGCGAATTCTTTAACTGTAACTATTTTACTCTAGTTAAAATATACGAGGTTGATTTTCACGGGGCCCTTGTCAATGCTCAACTACCTGAATAAATTTTTATCCCATTCTTCTTCTCTAAACTGATTAGTTACTACTTAACTACTATTCCTGATCTGCCTCTCCTTTTTTTCTCGCCGTCTTTTAATTTGCCGGTTCCCTCCATTCTTCCACGAATCTTCCAAAGGTTCTTTTCTTTTTCCGTTTTCTTTTCTCTTCTTCTCTTCCTTCTAACTTTTTTCTTTTTCGTTTCTTTTTTTCATCCTTAATCTCTTCTCGAGTCGTCTGACGCTAGCTCTCTTTTTCTTTGCTTATTTCCTCTTGCTTGCTCTTCCTCTCTTATTTTATTCGCCCAAGCCCTTCCCCCCCCACCTCGCACCCCGGCCCAAGACGAAGTAACTGTCCATTCTCCGCCATCTCCAGCCAGTTCAAAATTCTCCAATCCCAACTGAAGCCTGTGCTCAAATCTGGTCTCTCGGCCTATCTCAGTCCCTCTCGACCTATCTTCTCCCTACGTTAACTACTACCACTATTACTTGTTGTTACTATTATTATTATCATTACTTTTATTATTTTATTATTATTATTATTACTACTACTACTACTACTACTACTACTACTACTACTACTACTACTACTGCTATTATTACTATTATTACTATTATTTATTATTGTTATTGTCTCTCTCTCTCTTCCCCCCCCCCCCCCCCCTCTCTCTCTCTCTATCTCTGTGTGTGTGTGTGTGTGTTTGTGTAAGGGACCGTAACTATCCGTAACATTTGCCCTGAATCCAAGTTTCTCTTTTCTCTCCCTCCCCTCTCTAACTCTCGAGATATAAGATATATATTTCCCACCCCGTCCTCCACGCTTCACTCACTCTAATATCATTGCCACCATCAAACCAACATCTACCTGTTTTTGCTGATTGATGCAATGATGCCAGACCTGTCTATATACTCCAACCGTTCCCATTACCACTTCTACAACTATTACTGCGATCTCTGCGATCTCTGCGATCTCTGCAACCTCTGCCGCTTCTACTGATTCCGTTCGCTCTCGTGCTCGTGCTGGCTCTCTCCACTCTACCTCCAGTCCTGTTACTGCCTCCCCCCCAACCCCGGTAGTTTGCTGCTGGGCGCATCCGTCGAGCCGGTTCTTTGCAGCTGATTCCGAACATCTACATGCACCGCGTTGCTTTCTGCTCCTGGGGCTACACCATCTATTACCTCTTCTCGACCTCGAGTTTGGTTCCTTTGATTGCGCTAATATCGAGTTTTGTCACCCGACTTATCCTGAGCTTTTTTCCTGTCTGATTTTAGCGATCAAACTACATTGCGACTATCTGTAGCTTCGTCTTCTTACACATATACATGCATACATTCATTCATTTGTACATCTGAAGTATACTTTCCAGACAATCAGGCTATCTAGCTCAGTCCACATCCATCCTTCGTATCTCCTCCTCTCGTCTTCCCACCTCCCACTTCGCTTCGCCTTGACAGACCCTCCTTGTTTCGCACTAGCTCTATCTTACCACCACCACCACCACCCATTCCGTTACGGTAACTATTGTTACGAATCGACTTTCGCCATGAATCGAATAGAAGAACCTCCTTCGCGAAGCCCTTTCTCTGGCCCAACAGATGTCTCCAACAAGTCCAGAACAATTCCCGTCCTCTCCTCGTCAATTGCTCCATCGGATCACCCACAGGGTGACCCCATGGACCTCAGTCCCTCCTCACCGGCCACAATGGCTCCTCCTGGCAATAATAATAGCGACAGCCCTGAAACAGAGCATGCGGGAGGCGCCAGCAACAACAATACCAACAACAATGCCAACAGCAATACCGTCAATCATAGTACAAACGGCGCTGCACCTGCATCAACAACGATCGGAGGAGACTCCGGCCACGCGCTGAATCAACCCATCGGGGCTGCTGCAGCTGCGCAACAGCCAAAGGTAGTTCAAACTGCCTTTATACATAAACTATACAGGTTGGTTGAACATACTTGCACACTATAAAATTGAAAGAAAAATGAAATAGAGGGGGAAATAAAAATGAAATAAAAAAATTAATAATAATAAAAAAAAATCCTCTTTTTAAGGCAACCTTTCTTGGTCTAATGCGATTGTGAACCCTCTAGTATGCTCCAAGATCCCGGAATCCAACACTTGATTTCGTGGTCCAGCACAAATGAAAGCTTCGTTATGTCCCCGTCTCAGGATTTTGCAAAGGTTTTGGCGTAAGTGTCCCTGCGTGGCGTTTCCCATCGTGCTGTTGGTTCGTGAAAAGACTTTGTCACTAAGAATTTTCTCTGATCCCGTACCAGTCAATATTTCAAACATACAAATGTCTCCTCCTTCGTTAGGCAGTTGAACATGTATGGATTCCATAAAGGTACCCGAATCATATTTGTACCCTCCTAAGTTAAATCGATTGGCCATTGTGACTAACTCCCGATGCCCTTCGAAAAATATTATAGTCAGCGATGTCTTTCACACAGGGTCTCCTGACTCTCAGATGTGGGAGTTCAAACATGGCAACGGCAATTTTAAGAAAGGCGACGTGGCCGGCCTTCGGGAAATCAGACGACGCGCCTCTAGGCAAACCCTGATCCATCGCGATTCCTTTTCTGGACATAAACCAAATGCATCCCAGCCTGGAACTCCCGCTGAACCAACTCCAGATAGTTCCGATTCCAGGGTGATCGATTCTAGACTCCTTAATACGGAACACAACGTCTTCGAACTCTATTCTCGCCTCTCCCGTGTGGAGGAAAACTATTCAATGTTAGCCTCGAGGTGTCAAGCTTTGACTGAGAGCTTAGTCCGATGCCACCAAGTGAGCGGAACCCCGTCGCATCCTGCCTATCGCGTTTTTGATAACAGAAGACCCCGTGTACTGACTTTCGACCTATAGTGGTCCAATTCCATGTCACATTTCGTCATGTCCCTTGTCCCCGATCCCGAGAATGCTATTCATAGAGATGGTACGACAACGAGACTTCTCGCCTATTCTCCCTTGATCAAGTCCAAAACTAACATGTATATGACTGGGTAATAGCTGCCAACATGCAACGTGAGGTCTCACGACAACTGGACGCCATACGTTCCCTGGAAAATCCCCATGAATCCCTTTTATCTGGACGACAACCATACTTTGGCAGCATGACCCTCCATTCCGGCCCACCCCTCTCTCCGCGCCAGATGCCACAAGACGACAACCGGCGTCCTTCTATGGCCCAGCCTCCAGTCCCCGTCCACCTCTCCGTTTCTCCACGTCGATACGGCTCAATTGGTGCTGCAAACTCATCCCCAGATTACAACCGCCCACAAATATCCACACAATATTCAGCAACGACAGCAACGCACCAACTCCACCCGCTCTCCGCCGTAAGCTCACCCTCAGGCCCCAATCTAGGCCGCCGTCACACCTCCGCCGACATCCGCGAACACTGGGCAAGTACCACCACAAACAACACCTATCCCCTTGGCTCGATCAACCCCAACCCTCCCTCCTCATCCTCCCAATGGCCCCCATCTCCACAGCGCACCGGCCCGCCCAACAATCCCGTCCACATCCCCATGAGCATGAGCATGAACATGAATATGAACCCAGTTCCCAACGCTGGTGACCACCAACACGTCCGCGACGTCCTCGCGAAGTACGAAATGGGCGGGCCAAGACGCCAAGACTCCTCACGTCATCCCACCCCTCCACTGCCACCAATAGCGGTCGATCCCGTCGCCGCAAACACCAACACCAACAACAACAACACCGCTACCACCACCCCCCCACACGCCCCTCCACACACCTCTTCCTCCTCCTCATCGACATTAAATCCAGAAAGCGGCTGGTCGATTGGGGGGCCGAAATTCCCACGCCCAACTGACTCGTCGTTACCTGCCACGCGCCGATCGAGTATGGCTAGCAATGTGCATTCGTTGCTTAATCCGACGGCGACGGCAGAGAGGCTCGATGAGGACGATGGAGCGGGGGAAGATCGGAAGAGAAAACGGTTACAATGAAACTAGAAGATTATTCTTCTGTGACGCGGTTGACTTGAATTTTTAACATGGGCTTCTGCAATCCTTTCTGACAAGACTTTGTCATGTTCGTCTCCCTTAAATCACAGAACCTCCTTTCTTTCGACGCATTTTCATTATACTTAATCTGCCGCTATTATCACTACAATTTTATCATCATTAGTATTAATACTATTTTTTTTTGTAATACTCCCCCCCTTATTTCCCGATGCGGCCCATTCTTTTGAAGTTTTTGTGATACTCCATGCGCACGTCAATGACATATCCCATCGGTTGGCTATCTCCAGTTCAGTTCATTCGACTCCATTTCCCGAATCTATTGGTATTTTTATCTTTTTTTATTTTATCTTTTATCTTTTTTATTTTCCCCACCTGCTTGCCTCCTTTCATTTCTACACTGCATTAATCAATTTCCTTCGAGGAGAGAAACCCCAGAACACAGAACATTCTAAGAGCAAGACAAAAGAAAACTAAAAAATAATCACGTTCACCAACACACCACCAGAGGCATCCATACCTGAACTTCCTGAGAAACGCGAGCGCTCACGCAGACACTTTGAGAGCTCAATACCCACAACTAACTGTTATGTTTCTTGCGCAAATCCACCTTTGATGACATCTATATCTATACACCTTTCTACGTGTGCCATACATCATATGGGAATCTGAGCGGAACGTCGTGCCGTATCGCCTCGATGCATCGATCGATCAATGACCAATAACTGGTCACTGAAAATATTCATACCACACCACACCGCATCAAAGCCAGCATCAATGCCAGCTCCAGCGCCAGCAGCAATATCAACACCTCTGTCCTAACTATCCATCCACCTTGCATCTCTCTCTCCCCCCCTCTCCATGTCAGTGTATATCAATAGTGATATATCCTTTGCCCCAGCCTACACAATCCCATCCCAACAACCCCACGCACACATCCATTTCCAGACCTGTATCTATCAGCAATTATTATCATGTCATCAACAGCACATACCTGGAAGAACGGAATGTTTGTTTCGATGTCATATTTAAAAACCCACGGATATTTCATATATTATACGTTTTTGTCTTTGGGCGAATTCTCCGATCGCTGGCATGCTGGTGTGTGGTGTGGTTTTATCCATCTCTTATCCTCATTTCTTGTCTGTCTCCAGTCATATGTGTATCTTTTTGTATACCACTCATTGATTTGGCTCTCAAGACTTGGAAGCAGGAATAACATGATACAAATACAAATACAAATACAGCTACTGTTCCCCTGACATATTTGGGTATACATAGCTATTCCCCTTGCTGAGAATTCGAAGCAAAAGGTCCCCGTTTTTATTTTCGCCTGACCTCTGCTAATTTTTGTATCTATCTGGCATTGGGTAAAGAGGCATTAATTGCGTGGGTGGAACGTTTGGCTGTTCGAATGAAGTAAATGAATAATATTTCAAAAGTTCTAACTAACGTGCCGAGTTGACATCTCTGCCGCATGTGTTTTTTTTCATAGTATGATGAATAATGGATACGTTCACACGCCGTCCACTCCTCATCCTTTAATTTTTTTTTTTTAATTGCCAGTCAGGAGGAGTGGCATAAAAAGGTATTATCCCACTTGGGGAATGCAATGTCGTTTTTTGGTTCTTGGTGCTTCTCTTGCTTACGATGGTTTGTTTTTTGATGCTGCGTATTTGAATTGATCTGATTTGACCTGGCCTGGCCTGACCCGAACCTGCGCTTGCAGTGTGAACCAGTCGAGCAACACTGAAGCCCCCTCCAAACGTAGTGGAACCTTTTATCCTTATTTAGCAGCGCTCCTCGTTTCTCTGGTAAAGGTCAAAGCTCAGCCGACCTCGCTTTCCGAGCTAATGTGGCCACGGCGTGAGAACGAGGTTGGCTGAGCTCTGACCAGTTCGGCTAACCAGTTCGGCTAAACGGGAGCGTTACCATGTTGAAACTGCGCCGGCAAGACTTGAACGGATTTTATGAGCGCGGTTCTAGATGGTTGGTCAGAGCTCTCCACTGGCCTCGCCTTTAGCTGACCTGATCTGAGCTTCTTGTCGTCGTGATATCGAAGGACGTAAGCCAAGGGGAACATCAGAAGAAAGATCGAACGAAGAATCAGCCATCATGTAATAGTTTAGTTAGTTATTCTCTTAACCAACCACGCCTGTTAAAAATCCATATCGTCAGGCGTCAACGGTGGAGTTGGGTATGTAGAAATTGACTTCGGACAATGCAGCTTTTCAGATACGCTCATTCTCCCGGTCCCAGTTAACTAGTTTTAGTTTCCCAGTATAACTATCTAGTTAGCTAACTGCCAACTAACTAATGGCGGGCAGCGGTAAGCTCCGTCCGGGAAGAAAAAAAAAGAAAAGCCTATTTTCTGCGAGATGGACGGGGCTAGACGCAACAATGGTACAGAGTTCCGGGATTCGAAGCATGTCAATCTTAGCTAGGAAAAAAATCATATCTGTTGGGTCCCTAACATTAGTTAGTTACAGGTACACCATCACTGCTAGTTACACTCTTCTACCTTTTCTCTATTCTCACCTTCATCGCTCTGTTCAGATTTCAATATCTTCTTGAGAAACCTCCGCCATCCCCACCACCCCTCACAGACGCCGGAGTTAGTGTAATTTTAAATCTCAAAAAACAAACCAAAATTTCTTTTTCTATCCCTGTAAGTGACTAGTTGAACTGACAACAAGCCCGCCTCACACAAAATACTTGGAAAAAAAAAAAAAAAGAGTGAAGCGGAAGAGATGGAAGTCTTTCTATTCCCGTTCTTCATTCGCCCTGTGGCTGTGAAAATGCATCCTATAGATTCCAATTTTGCGCTTTATTAAGAGGTCCGGGAAAACAGGTCTATATACCGAGTAGAGGCCAGAATAATACCATCCTAGGCGCAAGGACAATTCGATCGCGGGGTACTTTAATATTTCCTTTTCCCCTCTTTCCGCGAAGCGAATATCGACTCCCGCACGCCTTGAATCGGACGACGCCAGTATGGTGGAGAAGGTCTATGTTACTTATAATCAGGTATGTTAACTGGGGATAGGACGCAGGAGGGGAGGGGAGGAGAGAGAGACACGGAGGCAATTTTGAGTGTGTGTCGGAGATATGAACCAAGAGGGACGACTTGAATATCAGGAGGAGCCCTGCGGATTTCTGCGAGTTGTAAAAAATACGAAACCCTGAGATTCTATGTGGAAAGCTTGCATTGATGATAAGAGGGGGAAAAGAAGGAGAAGAGGTTGATGAAGGCAGACCAAGCCTACGCAATGGATGGACTTTTGAATAAATTAACAGCGATCCTTTCATACCACAGGTGCACAAGCTCTGTCAAGCTTCAGCAGACCGCATCCTCAATGACTTCAAACCAAATCTTATGATTGCCATCGGAGGCGGAGGATATATTCCAGCCAGAATGTTGAGGTATTGAATTTCCTAAGTATTTCCCCTCTGCGCCGCAGGGATAAGGAAGGGTTGGAGTGTAACACCTCTCCGACTCCTGTCCCAATCCACCACTATCACCGCCAAAATATCAATACCAATGTCATAACCTATATACCCCACCCAATCATACTATTCTAACATCCCCAACTGCGTGCCCCCCTTTACGTCCTCCATCACAACAGATCATTCCTCAAACAACCCGACGGCGCAAACATTCCCATCCAAGCCATCGGTCTCTCGCTATACGAGAACCTAGGCAGAGACGATGATCCCGTCGAGCAACTGGGTACCAAAGTCACGCGGACACAATGGCTTGATCTCAGCTCGCTGGAGATGGCTAATTTGATCGGGAAGAACGTGTTGATTGTTGATGAGGTGGATGATACACGGACGACGTTGGAATATGCTGTGCGTGAGCTGCAGAAGGATGTACAGGTGGCGCAGCAGCAGTTGGGTAGGGAGGGGGAGAAGACTACGTTTTCTGTGTTTGTGTTGCATGTGAGTTTTGCTTCGTTTTCTTCTTCTGCCTTTTTACCTTTGGAGGGCTGTCCGCCCGGAGGTTGGGGCTGTTTTCCTTAAATAGGAGAATATGGGTTTTTTTTTTTTTTTTTTTTTTTTTGTTGTTGTTGTTGTTGTTGTTGAACAAGGAACGTCATTGTTCCGTCGATGAGTGTCATAACTAACCAGTAAACCCTTTCCACCACGCAGAACAAAGATAAACCTAAGAAAGGAAAACTCCCTGCTGATATGCTGGAGAGCGGGCGATATCTGGCCGCTGTCACCACCGGTGACGTCTGGATCTGCTACCCCTGGGAAGCCAAGTGCGTTCTCCCTCTTCTCAATCTCCTTTCCCCTATATCGTTATTCGGCCCTTACCCCCTTACCCCCTTACGCCCTTTCCTCTTCATTTCCCCTTCTCATGCCCGCATTTCCTTCCGCCTTACCCGGCCTTGGTATTGGTGTCCCTTTGTTTCCCCCTCCTGCCATCTATGCCCAATGGTTCCACACGCAACCACGGCACCTGGGTTGTTGCAATCTGTACAACATGTTTTCGAATCTTAGCACAGCATATCGGGTCCCATCACCATCCGTCCGTCACCCGGATCCGGGGGCCCCGAGCTTTGAGCCCCTGGACCCGTGCTGCTTTGATGTATCCTTGCATGGATCAGTTCGTTGATTGGATTCGTACATGGGTTCTGCCGTGTTCTAGTTTTACTAACAGTTTCAACACAGGGACATTGATCAGCACGATCAACTCGCGGCTGAGCGCCCGTTGACTTGAAGGGTTCTTAAATGCCTTTGTTTCCTTTGGAAGTAATAGAAGAATAAAATTCTGTTAACTAGGTTTTATTTCACCCTTTCTCTCCTCCCTTCTTCTTTTCCCCACCTTATGATAACTTTTTATTTTTATTATTTATTTATTGGTAGATTCCCACGGAAGGAAACGGAGAATGGATGGAATTGACATCTTAACTTCGTAATGACAATGATATTTATATTTAATAAATACCCTCTTAACTCTTCATTTCACATTTATTTTG